GGTGATGAATGGCAGATTGCATTTTCTAGGGAGGTTTTCTATTAAAATGAAGATTGGATTAATACATTTAATCCAAGAAGGGATAATATGTTTCACCAGTCTGCAAAACTCACAGAAGGGTCATCTTCTCCTATTCCTTTGATGGTGATATTTGTGTGTCCATGCTTGGGTTGTGTTTTGTGTTTGCTGATTAAAATAATTGGGAAGGAAGAAACAGTTTATTTTTTCAAATAAATGATAGGTATCATTTGTTTTTTAAAAATTGAATAGAATTAATGTTTTGTTGTTGATTATAGAGTTCTTTTATAATCTCAAGCATATTTCCTTGCCTACCCATAGTACTAACCAACTGTAAAGTGGAATCCTGCTCTGATGGAGTTTGCATTCCATAGTTCACAATATTGTTCTGAATGGCCATGCAGATTCTAGTAAAACCAATAATTAGAATTTAGATTGTTTTCCAGTTTTCATATATTACAAACAGCATTTCAATGGACATGATTCAAGCTGGATGTTTGGACACATCCTTAATTTCCTCGGTATTCACATTTTAAGGCATTTGTGATAGGTCAGATTTCCTCCCAAAGAGTTGTTAACTATGAGAGTACTTCAAGAAGTTCATGGAAAATTGGACTTAAAAGATAATACTGATCTTTCCATGAACTTTTTGAAGACCCTGTATATTTACATCTTCCCCAGTGAAAATGAGGCGTTCCCACACCCTTTTCCAGACTGGATGTTTATTTTAATAATCATTGCCAATTTCATACATGAAAAATAATAGTGCTTTGTTTTTTAACTTGTCTTTGAGTAATAGTGATTTTGAGTATTTGCATATTTTCAGTAGCCGTTTGTGTTTTTCTTTGTAAATTTTTTGCACACGTTCTTGGACTTTTTTCTTAAATTGGTAGGCTTTTATAACTCTTACTAAAATTCAGATGCTCTTGATTTATTAAAGATACTTTGAGCCTGGCATATATAGTCCAAGTATCGACTCCAGTTTGTTTTCATTGCCTTTTATTTGTTCTCATGGTGGAACTATTTTGTTTTCACAGGGACAACAAATTTTTTTTTTTTCTGGTGGCTGGCCAGTTTGAGGATCGTAAAAAAACAAATATAATCAAATGGTGTCCTTTTGTAACATGTTGGGTTAAGAAGGTATAGAACCAAAATATTTGCAGAACGATGATGCATTAATTTGCAGATTGTTTTTCTCTACATTGGATGTGAGCTGTTTAAAATATAACATATAGTTTATTAAAACCACACTTTAATCTTCTATGTTAATGAGGAACAGTGGTAACTTGCTGCATTTAAAAAAATTATTGAGTGCCTGTTCTCTGTAAGATGTGAATACTTTCTGTTTATTTTCTCATCTACAAAAATGGGATAATTCTCACATTGGAAGGTTGTTTTCCTGTTCAGTTGTCTGGCTTGTAGTAGGTGCTTATTAAATGGTAGCTTGTTTTTATGATCATAATGGTACAAGTTAATGAGGCAGGGTCTGTGTGCTCAGGGCGCTGATAGCTCCTGAGGGCAACAGAAATACAGTTGATTTACTAAGTGCTCTTCTGGGGGTGTGAACAGAGTGTGTTTTGTTTTGTTTGTTTTTTTGTTTCTTTGGTCTTGATCTTAGATAGAACTTAGATAATCAATTTTATACCTTTTTAAAAAATTAAAGCATAATTGATTATATATATTTGCAGGGTACAGAGTTGAACATCAATACCTGTGTGCAATGTGTGATGATCAAATCAGGATAGTTAGCATATTCATCGTTACAGAACGTAATCATTCCTTGTGTCCATTAACAAATTTTTCGCTAACTCCCCTCTCCCTCCCCCTTTCCCACCTCTAGTAACCACAGCTCTGTTCTTTTTTGAAAAAATTCAACTATTATCGATTGTTAGTTTCTTCTTCCCTCTGCCCCTTCTCTCTTTCTTCCCTCCCTCCTTTCCTTCCTCCCACTTATGAGTGAGGACACGTAGTATTTGCCGTTCTGTGCCTGGCTTGTTTCACTTAACATAATTTTCTCAAGCTCATCCAGGGGCAGAGTTTAATTTATATTTTTATGGCTGAGTAGTATCCATTGTGTATATATACCACATTTTCCTTATCCAGTTGTCCACTGATGGACGTTTAGGTTGGTTTCATATCTTGGCTGTTGTAAATAGAGCTGCAGTAAACATGGGAGTGCAAGGATCCCTTTGACATGATAATTTCTATTCCTCTGGCTATATACCCAGTAGTGGAATTGCTGGATCATGTGGTAGTTCTATCTGTAGTTGTTTGAGAAACTTTCATACTGTTTTCCATAGTGGCTGTACTAATTTACAGTCCCACCAACAGTGTAGAAGGGTTCCCCTTTCTCTGCATCCTCACCAGCATTTGTTATTCTCTCATTTTGACAATAGCCTCACTGAGGTGAGGCGATAATCTCCATGTGGTTTTGATTTGCATTTCTCTGATGATTAGTGATATTGAGCATTCTTTCATATGCTTGTTGGCCAGTTGTATATCTTATTTTGAGAAATGTCTATTCAGGTTCTTGGCCATATTTTAATAGGATTGTAAAGTACAGAAGAAAGGGTTAGTGACTCTGGGATAAGATCAGTGAAATTATTTGCTGTTAATGTTATCCTGATGAATTTTTCATTGCAGATACTGTGCTTTTCAGTTGTAGAATTTCCGTTGTATTCTTTTTGATAGTTTTCATCTCTCTCCTAAAATTACTTATCTGTTCACTTCTTATAACGAAATTTTCCTTTAACTCCTTGAACATATTTATAATAGTTGTTTTATAGTTCTTGTCTAGTAATTCCAAAATCAGGATCATCTCAGGGTCTGTGTTTATTGACTTTTTCCCCCTTTGATTATGGGTCACATTTTCTTGTTTCTTGTCTCATCTAATAATTGTTTCACTTTGTTGAGTGTTATGAGTGATACATTCTAGGGAGTCTAGGTGAAAGAGTATTGAGTTTTGCTCTGGTAGGCAGTTAAATTTCTGGCAGATCAGTCCTGTCAGAATTGTATCTATGATTCAATCTGTCTATCTGTTTATCTCTTCATCTTTCTATCAATCAATCATTGGGAAGGTATTTCCATTTTGAACTTAGTCCAAGTGCACGCCTGGCTCTTACTCTACAGTGAGATCTTTATTGCTAAGGCCCGGTCTTCTTGGGGTCACAGTTGAATGTCTGAGGGCCTTCTGGAGATCTCTTTACTCTAGTTGGACAGAAACTGCAGTCTTCCCTCACTGCATGACCGTTGGAATATCCCTTCGGCACTCAGTCCCACAGCACCTGCTCTCTTTTAGGCCTCATGGAGTCTTGCCCTGTGCATGGAAGCCCTTGCTTGCAGTGAAGCCCTTGGCAAAATACCTTTGGCAAACCTCTACTACAACTTCTGGGGCCCATCTTTAGTACTATGGCCCACAGATTCCAAGGTTTCTGCAACTTAGAAAAACCTTCTGTTCCTCCTCTGCTCAGTGAAACTGCAGTTCTGCCTGAGCCTAAAGTGTGCCTAGGCAGAAAGCCATGCCCAGCATGGGCCACCTCCTGTATTTCCCTTCTCTCAAGGCTCACAGCCCTGCTTTGCCCATGGTTCAGCACCTGAGAACAGCCGCTTAGTATGTTTTGTTCAGTTTTACAGTTTTACGATGGAAGACAAGCCCAGTTCTAATTACTTTCTCAGGATTGGAAGCAGAATCCTGGCAGTTTGCTGTATTTTCCTCATTGATAATATTAGAAGCACTTCATTATTATTATTATTATTATTATTATTATTATTATTATTATTATTATTATTATTATTATTATTATTTTAATCCTATCTAGTGTATGACTGATTTCCTTCTGTTAACTTGTGTTGTAACCTGAATGCCTGAGCTTCCAGAGCCTGGCCTTTTTTAGTCTTTCTCAATACCCGGGCATGGGCATTCCTGAATTATAAGTAGCCCTAATGGTGTACTTAGAGATCTTTGTCTTTTGCAGATTGTCATCTGTGCCATCTTACCCTTTAGTCCTCATCGTGAGCAGCAGTGATAGTCTAAATGCTAATGCAAGTTGGGCACAGTTGTCTTCAGAGTTTTTGAAAATGATTCCTATAGGACAGTTATTACAGCAGCCACTACATGTTCTTTCTTCCAGGAATCTCCCGGCCAGTCGCATCTTCCAGATTAATCTTCTTTCTCACTGTAACTTAAAAAGAAAAAACATTCTCTGTTTCACACTGCCTTACACACTTGTTAGTGGCTTCCCAGTCTTCCTTCCCTGCCACATTGTGGATGTCCTTTACTCAGTGGCTCCACATGTCCCCTTCTCTGTACTTCTCTGTGCCTTTCACCCGCAGGGCCCTTCTCTTACTCAGCTCTGCAGACTGCTGCACTCCCTGTCTTGTCCACACTTGCATTGCAGGTGTTTGTGTCTGTACCTAGTCCTGTCTCTCAAGACAGGACAACAGCACTCACCAGCCCTTGTATCTCCCAGGGCTCCTGGTGTCCTCCACAGGTAGACAGTCAATAAATATTCGTCATTTCACTCTCATTAGAACTCTGTCATCTGGGCAGGGTGAGGGCTCATTTCCTTCTGCAGAATGAGGAAACTAAAACTAAGTGTTTAAATGACATCACACACAGAATTAATGATTGATTCCAATTCATAATCCAAGTCCCCTCATGTTTTTCCTTTTCACTCATATCTAATTGGCTCAAAATTACTCTGGTTGGCTCTTAAAAATAAACTTATGTCTTTCTGTACTTTGGGCACATCCAAATTTATTAAAAAATGAGGTGGGGGGTTTTCCCTCTACTTCCAACTCCACCCTTTGTTGTGCTTGTAGGCCAGGGCTGACAGTGCCAGTCCTTAGAACCGCTGTCGTGGGTCATCCTGGTCTTTATGTCACACATGATCCCACGAAAACGTGCTCAGGACTGCTGTGTCCTAAGTGTGACTTTGTGTCTGTGTAGGAATACAAATCTGTACTCCGCTTTTTCATTTCAGGCACTTCGTCTTAGTAACATGGCCATGGGGAAGACAACCACAGGCCAGATAGTTAACCTGCTGTCCAATGATGTGAACAAGTTTGATCAGGTAAGCTGCACCTGAGGGATCCTTTTTCATTCAGTTTAACTTACCGGAATGTCAGGTGCCAGTTTTTGGTGTAGGCCAGGATTCTTTTCAGGACATAAGATTACTTTTTATCCAGATCTCACTTCTGTGTGCAATCTAGATATAATAATGTGTTTATCCTGGAGACTAGAGTTTTGTTTTCTTGATGTTGCCTACAACAGACTTCAGTAGTAAATAGGCAGAGTGCAGTGTTCTTGCCCAGCTTGGTTAAATGTACCTAATAGTCTGCCTTGTCTTCCTAGTCCTTCTTCTTAACTCTTAGCACATAGCAATGGGTTGTGTGCTGAGTGGTTGTTTTAGTCCGTTTTGTGTTGCTGTAACAGAATACCTGAGACTGGGTAATGTATAAGGAACAGAGGTTTATTTGGCTTACGATTCTGGGACAGCTGCCTGTGGCAGAGGCCTCAGGCTGTTTCTACTCATGGCGGAAAAGTGGCAGGCAGCTGGCAGGTACAAGCAGATCACATGGCGACAAGAAGCAGGAGGTGCCAGGGTCCTATAAACAATAAGCTCTCGTGGGAACTAATAGAGCGAGAACTCAGTCATTACTCCCCCCTCCCCCAGGGAGAGCATTAATCCATTCATGAGTGATCTGCCCCCATGACTCAATCAGTTTCCAACACTGCCACATTGGAGATCAAATTTCCACATGAGTTTTGGAGGGGACAACAGATCCAAACTCCATCATTCTGCCCCTGGCCCCGCAAAACTCATGTCACTCTCACATACAAAATACAATCATTCTTGCTCCAGCACTAACTTAAAAGTCCAAAGTCCAAAGTCTCATCTGAGACCAAAAGCAAAATTCCTTCCAGCTGTGAACCTGAAAAACCAAACCAAATTTATCTACTGCCAAGATACAACGGTGGAACAGACATTGGGTATACATTCCCATTCCAAAAGGGAGGAATAGGCCAAAAGAAAGGAGAAACAGGCACCAAACAAGTCCGAAACCCAGCAGGGCAGACATTATGTCTTAAAGCTCCAAAATAGGGCCGGCCCGGTGGCGCACTGCTACAGTGCGCCGGTTGGGAGCGCGGTGGCGCTCCCGCCGAGGGTTCGGATCCCACATACAGACCGGTTCCCGCTCACTGGCTGAGCGAGGTGCGGGCGCAACACCGAGGGTTGCGATCCCGTTGCCGGTCCCGGTCCGGTACGGGCGCGACACTGAGGGTTGCAATCCGTTGCTGGACACAAAAAAAGACAAAAAGGAAAAAAAAAAAAAGCTCCAAAATAATGTTCTTTGACTACAAGTCCTGCATCCTGGGCACAACTGGGCATCTGGGCCCCCAAAGCACCAGACAGCCTTGTTCCCACAGCTCTGCCAGGCACAGCCCAGTGGGCCACGCTGGTGCCTGTGGCTTTTCCAAGCCTGTGTTGCATGTTACCAGTGGCCCTGAAGTTCTGGGGTCCTGGCGGCAGCCCTGCTGCATTGGCTGTACTTGACATTTCCCTGGTGGGGGCTCTCTTTGGGGGCTCAAACCCCACTTTCCTGCTCGGTATTGCTCTAGTAGATGTCCTCTGCAGTAGCTCTGCTCCTGCGGCAGGTCTCTGCCTGGGCCCCCAGGCTTTTCCATACATCCTCTGGAATTTGAGTGGAGGCTGCCATGCCTCCACTGCTCTCACGTCCTGCCAGCCTGCAGACTTAAGACAACGTGGATGCCACTGAGGTTTTGGGCCTCTACTCTCCAGGGCTGCTGCACAAACCACACTTGGGCTGCTCCAGCTGGAGCATCTGGGATGCAGGGAGCAGGATCCTGAGGGCAGCTGTGCCCCAGGTCTGTCCTCCAGGATAACTCAGTCCTTCTAGGCCTCAGGGTCTGTGATGGGTGGGGCACCCTTCCCGACTTCTGAAATGCCTGCAGGGCTTTCCTCTCATTTTCTCTGCTGTAAGCATCTGGCTGCCTCACTGCCAAGATAATGTCTTTAGCAACCAGTTTATCTGCTTCACCCTTGCATTGTTCTCTGGCTCTCCGCTTCTTTACTGCATAGCCAGGCTGCAAATTTTCCAAATCTTTCTGCCATGATTCCCTTTTAAATTTTGGCTTTACATCATGATTTTGCCACCATAACTCAGAGTAGGCTCTAAAAAGAAACCATGCAACTTCCTTAATGCTTTGCTGCTTAGAAATTTCTTTGGCCAAATGCTCTGGTTCACAATTCTTAAGTTCCAACTTCCACAAAGTCCAAGGGCATCGACACAATGCAGCCAGGTTCCTTGCTTTGGTGTAGCAAGGGTGATCTTTTGTCCAATTCCCAATAAGTTCCTCATTCCTAGCTGAGACCTCATCATCAGCATGGCCTTTACTGTCCACATTTCTATCAGCATTCTGCTCACCACCACATAAGTCTCTAAGACATTCCAAACTTCCCTTCATCTTTCTGTTGTCTTCTAAGTCCTCCAAACTCCTCCAGCCTTTGCCCATTACCCAGCTCCAAAGATGCATCCACATTTTCAGGTGTCTGTATAGCAACACCCCACTCCTCCGTACCAATTTTCTGTTTTAGTCCATTTTGTGTTGCTATAACAGAATACCTGAGACTGGGTAATTTATAAAGAAGAGAGGTTTATTTGGCTTACGATTCTGGGACAGCTGCATCTGGCATGGGCCTCAGGCTGCTGCTACTCATGGCAGAAAAGTGGCAGGCATCCGGTGGATACAAGCAGGTCACATGGCAAGAGAGGAAGCAAGAGAGAGAAGCAAGAGGTGCCATAGTCTTATAAACAATAAGCTCTCGCGGGAACTAATAGAGCGAGAACTCACTTATTACTCCCCTCTCCCCCAGGGAGAGCATTAATCCATTCATACGGGATCCACCCCCATGACTCAATCAGTTTCCAACACTGCCACATTGGAGATCAAATTTCCACATGAGTTTTGGAGGGGACAACACATACAAACTCCGCCAGTGATCTTCCTCCTGTAGCTGATGAGCCCCTGCTGGGTAGGGATTGTTCTTTCCCAGATGCCTAATACAGTTTCTGGTACATAGGAACCCTTCAATAAATAATGCCAATTGTGTGGTCCCTAGCCAGAAATAACTGACTCATCTCTGTCCCACCACACCTATTTTTTACTTACCTTATGGAAATATCACGTAATCCAGGGCATTCTAGCCGCTGGGCAGATCTGTATTGCACTAGAATCATTTCTTTTTCAATTATTCATTCATCAAACATGAGCTGAGACCCCTACTTCCCTACTCAGTATCAGGGAAGAATGAGACTTGGTTTCTGCCCTGAAGAAGCTTGCAGCCTGTCCGGGAGATAAATACACAAGTAATTACTGGAGAATATGGTAGGCAGCACCATATAGGCTTACATGGGGTGCTGGGGAGCCCCAGGAGAGATGGGGGCTAAATTTTGTAGCAGAGAGAGTTCTGGGAAGCACCAAGCTCATCTGTGAAATAGACAAGATGGAGTTCTTCCTTCCAAGGCTGCTGGTCAAGTTCTCCTGTAAGTACCTGAAGCCTGTCCTTCGTCCCTTCATTGCACCAGGATGGGGACTGCTTCGTCCGTGGTACATACCTGGATTTCTGTTTTAGCAGGTTTAAAACTCATTGTGACCATTTTTTTTTTTTTTTCCCTTTTTGTCTTTTTTCGTGTCCGGCAACGGATCGCAACCCTCAGTGTCACGCCCGTACCGGACCGGGACCGGCAACGGGATCGCACCCCTTGGTGTTGCGCCCGCACCTCACTCAGCCAGTGAGCAGGAACCAGTCTGTATGTGGGATCTGAACCCTCGGCGGGAGCGCCGCCACGCTCTCAAGCAGCGCACTGTAGCAGTGCGCCACCGGGCCGGCCCCACTGTGACCATTTCTGTTTAGGATTTTGCCTATTCTTTCTGAGCAGATTGTTTCTATACTGTATTCTTACTGGCTTTGTTTTTATATAGTCCTAAGAGTGCCTTGTCTTTTTCTTTGAAGGTAACTATCTTTTTACACTTTCTGTGGGCAGGACCACTGCAAGCTATTGCAGTGACTGTCCTTCTCTGGATGGAAATAGGGATATCGTGTCTTGCCGGCATGGTAGTTCTGATTATTCTTCTGCCTTTGCAAAGCTGCTTCGGGAAGTTGTTTTCGTCATTGCGGTAAGAGATATACTGGTTTAAAAAATGTGTCATGTGTATCTGGTAACATCCACAGTTCTGCCTGATGCTTTCATTCAGAAACAAAAGAAATGCCTTTTATTATCTCTTCTTTGCATATGTTGCAGGCTTCTCGGGTTTAGCCAAGGAGGGATCCAGCCTTAAGCTGAAGGCATTTGCTGGCTCCTTCTGGCTAGCTTTCTAGGCACTGTAGCCTCAGTAAATAGAGTGTCCTTTAACAGAATTTATACAGAAGTTGTTTAAACATATATTAAATAATAATAAATTTAAACATTTTATAGGCCCAATTCTAGCTACATATATTTTTGTTATGCTTGTGTTAGAGCTACTAGGGTATGTCAAAAAGTTCATGGGAAAACGGAATTGAAATAGAATGTGAGTCCATCCATGAACTCTCAGGGCAAAAGTAGCTTGTGTGCTCTTTTACCTTTCTTGATTCTCATTTTTACTTTACTTGTCACCTTGCAATTCTGTATTGTCTTTGTTTGTTTTCTTTGATGCTTTAAAATTTTTGAAATATATTTAATCTAGATTTTTAAGTTTTTGTCTGTGGAAATAGTGATAGTTGATCCAAATATCCTAGCCTGCCATTATTGGAAACAGGAAGCTCTTATGTTCAGTTTTTAATTTTTGCTATTGTATCTTTATTTTCTAAGAGCTGGGGGGTTTTTTGTTTGTTTTTCTGAATGTATTTTTATTTTATTTTATTTTTTTGTCTTTTTTTTTTTTTTTTCGTGACCAGTAAGGGGATCGCAACCCTTGGCGTGGTGTCGCCCACACCGCACTCAGCCAGTGAGCGCACCGGCCATTCCTATATAGGATCGGAACCCGCGGTGGGAGCATCGCTGTGCTCCCAGCGCCGCACTCCCCCGAGTGCGCCACGGGCTCGGCCCCATCCATGAACTTTTTGATGTACCCTCATATTTTCATATGTGTATACCTGTGTGTTGGTTTTAATTCAATGTTTCCATTAAATTATAAGCTCCCCAAGGGCAGGGTTTATCTTAATGATGTCTTTATAGAATCCTACAGCCCTATCAGCGTATATGTTAGAAAAATTGTTGTTGATGATAAAGTGAATTAGACCTGAAGCAGGTCCCCAAATATCAGAAGTGATAATTGGCAGGGCTGTCAGGTGATGCTGGCTGTTTGCTCATTGAGGTCTTTCTTCTGTGCCTTTGGTCATGGTGTTTTCTCTACTTGGAATTTCCTTTCCCCTCTTTGCCATCTGGAGAAAAGTTCCTGAACCTTCCTGGCCCTGTCCAATTGCTTTTGGTACTCTCAAGCTTTTCCTGCTTACTTCTTTCCCAATAGAATGAACAGACCTTTCTTTTCTGCTCCCCAACACTTTATCCCTATTTTATGACAACACCGACAACTGTATGATTGTGAGATTCGGGTGACTTTCTGCCTTCCCTCCTCACCTGTGAGCTCCTGGTGTGGACAGATTGGATCAGACTCATTTTCATGTCTAACTCAGCAGATATTGCAAATTCTCAAAAATACTTACTGAGTTGGGATAAATTGTTGACTTCCTAATTGAGGTCTTTTTCCATTTGTATTTTGAGTAGGACCTGCCTGTGTTGTCAGAGCTAAAGAGCTTTAGGGAATCACTGGATCCATGCTCTCTGCCTGTGCCTGTTGCTGATAAGGAAAGTTAGGCTGTGATCACTATGGCTCATCTCCCATGTCTGTCCCCCTTAGGAGTAAAACTGCAGCTTTCACAGACATCAGGATCAGGACGATGAATGAAGTTATAACTGGCATAAGAATAATAAAAATGTACGCTTGGGAAAAGTCATTTGCAGAACTCATTACCAGTTTGAGAAGGTGAGTTTTTGTATAGATCATACCATAGTTTTGTACTTTTCTATTTCCTATTTCAATTGAATGGATTTAGAAGTCTTACTCTGTTTTCACATCAGGGTGAACTTCACGTTAGGGAATTCTGTGTACCTCACCCCTTGCACGTGGCAGTCGGGTTAAGTACATTGGCGTAGGACGTCATTTTAACCTGGTCTTCCATTTACCATTTTCTTAAAGCAAAAAAAGTATATGTGCTTCTTACTAATACAAAAATGAAATTCCAAGTCTTTCTGCATACCCCAAATCCCAAACAAGCAGTGATGCAAAGGTGTTAGTATTTAAGGTCATGACATTTAAAATAAAACTATAATTTATGTAAATGTAGCCAAATGGGCAGATTATAGAAGTTGGATATACTTGTATTGTGCTTTTCATTCCAAACACAGCCATGGAAATAATGTTTCTTTTTGTTTTGCTTTATAATTTTAGATTTTTTGTTTGTTTTTGACTTTAAATATTTGAGTAGTTTTTCACTCCAGCACGTGGTACTTCTTGTAATTGCCTGGTAGCACTGGGCCCCTCTCACCTTTGCACCTTTGTGGGTGCACCTCACTATGCTCCAGGTGTGTTCTTTCCTTCGTTCTCTGGACTCCGCCAAGTGTGCTGTCTTCCCTGATGCTACCACTCTGAGTTACCTGCCTCTTTTCCATGTTCCCATGGAGCCCTGTGCTAGCTACTTCTGTCTAGTGTCTGGGGTCTCCCACTTTGGGGTTGCTTATTTTCTTCCACAGGTCATGAACTCCTGGAGGGGGCAGGCTGTGTCTTATTCATCTTTCTGTTGTCAATGAGGTGCCTGGCACAGGACTTGTGTTTACAGATGCTTGTTGAATGAATGTTCAAATCCAGACTGATTGACCCAAAATGTTAAGCTGTGACATTAAACATCATGTAGATGACTCAAGTGGTTATTTAGTCATCTCTATGTTCTTTGTATCGAAGCCAGCCCCAGGGCGTGTGCTATCAAATACTTTGATAATGTAGGAGATGGTTTATCTCAATCTGTTGCTTTGCCTCCCACGGATTTGTCACCCCTTTTCCCCTGGGTGACGGAGTTGCCAAAGATTACTCAAAGCCTATCTCTTCTGAGCAGTGAGAAGCCCCGAAAAGGGTTTAATCTCCCGGAACCCTCAAGAGAGAGGCATTCCTTCCATTTGGGACATTAACTGTGAATTAGGGTTCTCTTCCCACAGTTATTCTCCAGACCAGGAAGTTACAGGAAGAGAACACAGGTGGGGTTTTTGCTAAGTACAGTTTAACAAGTTTAACAATAGAAGCTGGTAACATTCAGTAAGAAAAGCAAGGTGACATTCCATAATGCAGTTTTCAAGAAGTTAAGTTGATCCACCAACAAAAGCTTGATCTTAGCATTCTCTTCTTATAGCAGTTTCCCAGTATCTTTACATATCAGTCAGTAACCTGTCTGTCGTTGAGCCAGCAACTTTGCTGTGTTACAATTCTTTATCTTACAACAGAGACTATATAGCCTGGGGAAAATTTCCTGTCCTTTGCAAGGTCAATATTTGAAACTGCAAGCCTTTGGAAAACCAGGCCCTGTGAAGTACATTTGTTTTATGCATACTTCACATCAATCTATGTCCACTGCCTAGAAAGGGGCCACATGCAGAAGGCACTTGCACTCATGACCTTGATTCTTCTTTTAAAATCTGTATTCTGCTCTCTTTTCCAGGAAGGAAATTTCCAAGGTTCTGAGAAGTTCCTACCTTAGAGGGTTGAATTTGGCATCATTTTTTGTTGCAAGCAAAATCATTGTGTTTGTGACCTTCACCACCTATGTGCTCCTTGGCAACATGATGACAGCCAGCCATGTGTTTGTGGCAATGACACTGTATGGGGCTGTGCGGTTGACAGTCACCCTCTTCTTCCCCTCAGCCATTGAGAGGGTGTCAGAGGCAATCGTCAGCATCCAAAGAATCAAGGTTTGGTGGCAAATAACGTTTCAAAGTTGTGGGTGGATTTAAAGTAAAATAATGCCTCCTTTTATTTAGTGTCACTGTGTTCTAGTTAAGTGAAGTTTAACTCTCTCAGCATCACACTTTCAGTTCATTCCAAAATGTTGTACATACTTCCTTATCTTAGGTAGTGTACTAAAATAACGCAAGAATTGCTGATCATTTATGGGCAGCCGTATAAACAGCAGCGACACAGGTGGCAGCTGCAGGTGTGATTAAATGTCTAAAAGCTGGAAGAGCAAACATTTTATCTCCTGTGCTGACTTGAATGCATAGGGAGTGCCCATGTACAGTCCTGGATTGAATAGGATTCCTCTTTGGACTGTGAAGGCAAGAGGTTGCTGGAGGTCCCTGCCCATTCTCTGCAGAAAAGAATGGACTTAACTTCACTTAGTCATCTGTTTAAAAATGGGTTCTTTCCTCCATAGATGTTTTGCTTATTTCTGTGTATGCCTTTTGGATCTCTGTCTTTTTCTTCTGTGTCTTATTTTCACTTTTTCTTATTGTTGATGAATCTATCTCTAATATACCTCTTCCTTTCTAATTTATTGATTTCCACTGTCTTGGTTTATTGGAGCTGCTGTAACAAAATACTTGTGACTGGGTAATTTATAGAAATGTTTTTCCAACAGTTCTGGAGGCCAGGAAGTTCAAGACGAAAGCCAGCAGGTTCTGTGTCTGGTGAGGGCCCAGTCTTTGCTTCCAAGATGGCACTTTGAACACTGTCTCCTCACATGGCAGAAGGGACAGAGGGGCAAAAGGGGCCTATCTAGTTCCCTTGAGCCCTTCTATAAGGGCTAATCTTATTAATGAGAGCTCTGCCCTCATGACTTAATCACCTGTAGAGGGCCCACCTCTTAATACTACCACATTGAGGTTTAGGTTCCAACACAGGAGTTTTGAATGGACATATACCTCATACCCACTATCATCTTTTACTAAGTAGCTGTCCCTAAATTGCTAGGGGCAAATAATTATGTCACCAAAATAGGGGCCTGGCACATAACAGGTGCTCAAGTATTTGTGTGTTTGTGAATAGGTCCAAAATTAAGATAAATTGGCTCTGTGAGAGGGCCTGGGTAAGAACTTGAGTGTCCAGGCTTTAAAAAAGCCTACTTTGTTTTTTTCTGGTTCTTAGTAGTGATGGAGGCCGAGTAGCAGACCTCCAGTGAAGTTAGCTGGCACTGCATGTGATGTTTTTGTGGGTTTTTTTTTGGCCTTGTCATAAAAGCTGAGATTATTTTATGAAGTTTCTATTTTATAAAAAAAAATTACGTATAGAACTGATCAGTCATACAGGGTCAGTTCTGGTCCCGCGTTTGTCATTCTTTCTGACAACAGCTTCAAGCAACATTGTTAAGAGGTGGTCCATGCAGTTCAATAAAAATTCTTCTATGTCACTTTTGCACTGTGAGAGGAAGCATTTAGGAATATACTTTGACCTTTTCAAGATGGTAGCCTCACTTCTTTTTTTTTTTTTCCGTGTCCGGCAACGGATCGCAACCCTCAGTGTTGCCCCCGTACCGGACCGGGACCAGCAACGGGATCGCAGCCCTCGGTGTTGCTCCCGCGCCTCGCTCAGCCAGTGAGCGGGAACCGGTCTGTATTTCAAGATGGTAGCCTCACTTCTTTTTTTTTTTTTCCGTGTCCGGCAACGGATCGCAACCCTCAGTGTTGCCCCCGTGCCGGACCGGGACCAGCAACGGGATCGCAGCCCTCGGTGTTGCTCCCGCGCCTCGCTCAGCCAGTGAGCGGGAACCGGTCTGTATTTCAAGATGGTAGCCTCACTTCTTTTTTTTTTTTTCCGTGTCCGGCAACGGATCGCAACCCTCAGTGTTGCCCCCGTGCCGGACCGGGACCAGCAACGGGATCGCAGCCCTCGGTGTTGCTCCCGCGCCTCGCTCAGCCAGTGAGCGGGAACCGGTCTGTATGTGGGATCCGAACCCTCGGCGGGAGCACCGCCGCGCTTCCCAAGTGGCGCACCATCGCAGTGCGCCACCGGGCCGGCCCCATGGTAGCCTCACTTCTATACTGTGCCAGTGCGATTGATGCTGATCTCTGGTTGCTGGTGCCATGTGTGTCATGGGCCAGGCATGTTTGGAAGTATTTCCATGTTATCTCATTTAACCCTGACAATGATTGGACGAGATAAGCTTTAGTGCCCCTGCTTTACAGAGAAGAAAACAGGTTCCTGTTATAGGTTAAATAGTTTGCCCAGCCTCACATAGCTTGTAAATGACAGAACTAGGATTTTGCCCAGAGCCCTAGTTTCTTAACCATTGTTGCACTGCCTGTTTTGCCTTCTTAGGACCTTCTCACATGGGGACTATATCCTTAAGTGATGTTTTAATCATCTAATCTTATTCTGAAAACCTTCAAAGATTCTCTGTTTCCTGAGGACTCAAATTTTTGAACTCTAGATATAAGGGTCAGCTGGTCACATTGTGTGTTTCCAAGCAAATGACCCTGAACTTGGTAGAGGGACTTGTCTGTTACATTCCATGTTTATCTCCACTTTTGGGTCTTTGCTCCCTACGTTCGACTCCCTGGGGCACCTTCTCTTCTTTCCTTGATTTAAGAAAATGCTGCTAGCCCTCCAGTCAGCTCCCTGGACCCTCCCAGTGCTTTGGTCAGCATCACTGGAAACATGGTGGGCACCAAAACAAATACTGCAAACAACAGTTGCATGAAAAGGCTGGACCCAGCAGAGACCTAGGGTGGCCCACTCTGTACTAGAAGCCAGAGGAACGCAGAGTGAAGGAACAGGTTTCAGCTGGGCGTTCCTGGACCAGCAGGCCTTGTGGGATCTCAACCCAGGAGAGCTGGATCTTGTCCACAGGAGGGCTGGATCTGAGTTTTTCCTTTGTTCTATGTGTCCATTGGTGTATCTCAAACCCAGCTGGACTGGTGGACCTGCTCTGCAAAGAGAGGGGTTGTGTCGGGGATTGGTGCAGACTCTGCCGGCCCAGCTCCTAGGCTCTGGAGACAGCTGGGCTTTCCTGGGGCCATGGAGATAAACAGTCTTACTTGGTTAGTAAAATAAATCTGATTGTCTTACTGGCCATCATGAGATAAAGAAGATTAAAACCACGGTCCTTTACACTAACAGGTAATAATTAGTGAGCACTTACTATGTAGTAGGCACGACTTTAAGTCTTACAACTACCCTATCACTCCTACTTTACAGATGAAGAAGCTGAAGCATGGGGAGTTTAATTAGTACCTCCAAAGTTTTCACAGCTAGTAAAAGGCTGATTTGGGGTTTCAGCCTGGACTGCCTGTCTTAAGTGTGCACACTCTAACTGCCACATGGTGCCATTGTGCAATATAACCGAAATGACAATCCCACTTCCATGTGACAGCCTGGTGGAGGCCACAGAAAATACTTGGGCTCTCATAAAGGGGTATATGGACCTGGGGTCCTCACCATTTCTTTGGACTTTAGTTTCCCTATCTCCAAATAAGGGCATTGGAGGTCATTTCACATGTGGCCCACTTATTTAGAAAACCCTCTGTATTAGGGTTCTCCAGAGAAACTGAACTGATAGGGTATAGGTGTACATACAGAGAGATTGATTCATTGATTTTAAGAGATTGGCTCACGTGATTGTAGAGGCTGGCAGGCTGGAGACCCAGGAAAGAGCCGATGTTGCAGCTTGAGTCTGAGGACAGTCCTGAGGTGGAATTCCCTCTTCTTTGGAGGTCAGTCTTTTTCTCCTTAATGACCTTCAGCTGGTTGGATAAGGCCCACTGCCATTATGCAGGGCAATCTGCTTTACCCACACTCTACTGATTTAAATGCTAATGTCATTTGAAAAGTACTTTCACACTGACACCCAAACATGTTTGACCAAATGTCTGGGTACTGCGGCCCAGCCAAGTTGAAACATAAAATTCACAGTCACACACTCTTTAATCCCCTTCTCTTTTTGGGGGGCTCCTAGTATGTGACTTTGTCCTCACTTACCCCATGGTATTGCAGACACCTGTTTATAGATTTCTTTCCCTCTCTAAACCCTAGACTTCTCAAGGGCAGGTATAGTGAGTGCCTTGTGCATCTTGTATTTTTTGCGGATAACAGGTGCCCAGAAAATGTGCACCTTTATCATATCTGTGGAAGTCTGCAAATGCTTAACAACTGAGCCTCGTTTCAGTGGAAAGAGACCATTTTCATCCTCTGATTAATTACGTCACGCATCAAAGAGTGTGGCATGACAAGGATCCTGCAGAAGGTTTGTAGGGAGTGGTGGTCATATATTTGGATAGGCAAAATCTCTACGATTTTTAATTTCTTTTCCACCAAAATGCAACTGAACTATATCTAAGGCTTGGAATTCCTTTCCATGGAGATGTGTGTGCAGTAAAAGAAAAATTATGACCTGCCAAAAACTTCACATTTTCCCGTGGCTAACTTTAAGGTGCTCTGTGTCCTGATAAAGGAAGCATCTTTGATTTGGGCAGGAAGCCTTCACTTCCTCTCAAGTACATAGAGTTTCTGGCAGGAAGGTGGACCTGGGCATTCAGATGTCTGTTCTGTAATAGTTATTTTCAGTAAAGGTCAGAAGGAGCAGAGTAGAGAGTCCTAGACACAAGTGGCAGAGAACAGAATGATGAGCAGTGTTGCTGTTAGTGTCGAAATTACTTTGTGGTGGTGTTGAAATAATTGGTGGATTTTTTTTTTTCTTCTTTTAGATCTTAGGCTTTTTTCCAGCCCAGATGGTTACTATAATCCATTTAAAAATGTCTCCTAGTTCATCAGAATCACCTGGAGTGCTTATTAAAGCTAAATTGTCACACCTTGGAGATTCTGATTCAGTAGGTGTTGTTGACTGGGGCCCAAGGTATCTGTGTCTTTAGTAAGTGTCTGTGTACCTGCAAACATGCCACATTTAGGAAATGTTACCTTAGTTGCAGAGGGAAAAATCACAAAAGGTTAAGATGTGTTTAGCAAATATAAACGACGTTGG